GGGAGCTGGGATTGGGAGGAAGATGTGAGCTGCCTGTGCCAGCTGCTGCTCAGGGGAGGAAGACAAGCTGGTGGGTAGGTTTGCACCTGTACTATGTGAATCGTCTGTGTTCCTGAATTATTTGGAGGTGAAGCGTCCTGGCAGAATCAGGCTGCCTTGAAATGGTGCTGGTTGAGGGATGGGCAAATTACAGTTAATGTTGGTGTGGAGGCACAGCTCTCTCTCCCCTCCTGCTATCATGTAGCTGCTTTGCAATCATCTCAAAATAGGTATTCCTTGCGTTCAAGCGTGTGTCCTGCCTCATGGAGATTGTGCCTCCATCCCCATCTGTGGGGAAGGTGGAATGGCTGAGATGTGCAATGGTCCTGCATCCTCTTGGCTATGGTGTGGTGAGGTGTTGGGAGCTATAATTTTGAATTTTTTTTTTTAAATTTTATCTTTTTCTACCCTGGGGGGATCAGTGTCCCTGCAGCTTCTTAATTATGGTGCTTTCTTCTTTCATTCTTTTCTGCCGTTGTGGAGTGTACAGAAGATTCGAAGGTGTTCTATCCCATCTGCCCCCAAAAATTAACTAAATATGTCCAAATCTGGGTGCTGTGCTAGGGAAGGGGGAGGTAAAAAGGTTTTTCTTTGAGGGAGAAGTGTGCTCAGAAAGAAGCGAGCTTGAAGCTAAACCTAGGAGGTGGCTGCAAACAGTCTATAAATAACTGCGAGGAGATTGAGGAGAGCAGCCCACATCTACTCTGGCATGGGCAAGCTGTGCCCATTTTCTTTGTTGATAGCAATTGCTAATGTGAATTCTGGCACTCCAAATCCTGGTGCCTGTTGTTCTGATAACATAATTAAATCTTAGGAATGTGAAATATAAAAAGCTTTGAGAAGAAACCAGGCCACTCAGCAGATCCTGGAAAAGGGGGATATGTGGTGCATACGTACCGGGCAAGCAATGGGATCCCTCTAGGCAGGATTCACTGCCTGCCGGCTGATGGGTATGCTGGGAGCAATCCTGCCCTTCCCATGTGGGAAAGGGGATGACCCCCAGGAGCATCTGCTGTCCTGATCCCAGGCTGCAAGGGCTGTCATCTTCCAGAGTTGCAGAACGT